ACATATTTGACCCCTGTGACCTTGAATATGGGTGAAGGTCATTCATTTGTACAAACTTTGTAGCACTTCATCTCAGCATGCTACTGGCTAAATATCATCACCCTGAGCATTTTGGTTATTCAGAAGAAGTTGTTTAAAGGTTTTTTAATACAATTGACCCCTGTGACCTTGAATATAATTGAAGGTCATTCATTGGAACAAACTTGGTAGCCCTTCACCCAAGCATGCTACTGGCCAAATATCATCTCCCTGGGCATTTTGGTTATTGAGAAGAAGATGCTTAAAGTTTTTGACATATTTGACCCCTGTGACCTTGAAAATAGGTGAAGGTCATTTATTTGAACAAACTTTGTAGCCCTTCATCCAAGTTTGCTTCTTGCCAAATATTGACACCCTAGGCCTTTCGGTTGTTAAGAAGAAGTCGTTTAAAGTAAAATATTGACGCCGGACGCCGGACGGACGCCGGACGGACGGACGACGGACGCCGCGCCAAGGCATAAGCTCACTTGGCACTTCGTGCCAGGTGAGCTAATAAAAACTGTATTTTTGCCCTTGGAAGGAAAAAAATCAGTGCTAATCAGCTATGCCAAAAAAATGTGCATAAAGTTAAGCAGAATTGAAAATAATCAGCTGGATTTCTACAAAGTTGATTATAGAAGTAAAACTGCAAACCATCACTTTCCCTCCATCACATTTTTACCCTTTGATGACTTTATAAAAACAAATTTGGCCCTCACTGAATATGCCCATGTATTGTACCTTAACACTCCGATTAACGTTTTTACACAATGTTTTTTGTCTAGTACTTTATTTGCTCTTACATACTTCATTTGCTCTTACATTCAAGGACAAACGTATGGTATTTACTGTAATTTCATTCATATTGATATTACCTGTCAAATTCCACAGAGCACTGAGAGTGAACTTGAGGGTGATATCTATGGACCGGGCCTGTACTTTCAGTCGGACTAGATCCAGCATTTTCTGCATGTACTTGGTCTTTGCTCCCAAAAGAGATGTCTGGCTTGTGGAGATTTTGGCAGCAAGAATTGAGCAGATGGCAACAGACATACGATTCATGGAAGGATCATCAAACTGACAAAGGCATTCCATCACCAGCTTGGCACAGCGATAACGGTCAAAGGACTGAAGACAGATCAAGTTACTCATCAATAATAGCAAAGTAATTATAATGACATAATAGAGTGTGTTTAGATAAAAGCTGTTTCGGTATCAAAATATTTATATTTCATATCAAGGAGACACCAGAAAGTGCAAAATAGTGTCAATGTGACAACAATATCATTGCCTAATATAAATGTTGAAGTAAGTAACTGGACATTGTTTTTTCTGTGGCCTTTGGGCCTCCTTCCTAATTGAAAGTATTTTATCTTCATGCCTGCCTAGGCAATTCCCAAAATTTACTCCTGAAATTTCCCTCCCAATTGGTATGTTTTCTTCCCAAAATGAGACAAAAAGGCTTCTTCCCAAATTAATGAAAATAATCACTGCTAGAGTTAACACTGATTCATAAGTATGAGAATTATCCTGACCCGATATCATTCCCTTATATATCCTGATGACATTTTTCAGGTTTCACAGCTGAATTATTCAGACATGTGCAGTAAGTGTAATATCCAGAACTGACACCAGAATGTTATAGCTGAATGGTTCAGCCTGTATAGGCAATACATGGTTACTGAGGTTACAACTGAATCCTACAGGTATTATAGGTAATAAATACAAGGTTACAACTGGATCCTACAGGTATTATAGGTAATACACGGTTACTGAGGTTACAACTGAATCCTACAGGTATTATAGGTAATAAATACAAGGTTACAACTGAATCCTACAGGTACTATAGGTAATACACGGTTACTGAGGTTACAACTGGATCCTACAGGTATTATAGGTAATACAAGGTTACTGAGGTTACAACTGAATCCTACAGGTATTATAGGTAATACATAGTTACTGAGGTTACAGCTGAATCCTACAGGTAATATATAGGTAATACAAGGTTACAACTGGATCCTACAGGTAATATAGGTAATACAAGGTTACTGAGGTTACAACTGAATCCTACAGGTATTATAGGTAATACAAGGTTACTGAGGTTACAACTGGATCCTACAGGTATTATAGGTAATACACGGTTACTGAGGTTACTACTGGATCCTACAGGTATTATAGGTAATACATGGTTAATGCGGTTACAACTGAATCCTACAGGTAATATAGGTAATACAAGGTTACTGAGGTTACAACTGGATCCTACAGGTAATATAGGTAATACACGGTTACTGAGGTTACTACTGGATCCTACAGGTATTCTGAATCCTACAGGTATTATAGGTAATAAATACAAGGTTACAACTGGATCCTACAGGTAATATAGGGAATACACGGTTACTGAGGTTACAACTGAATCCTACAGGTAATATAGGTAATAAATACAAGGTTACAACTGGATCCTACAGGTAATATAGGGAATACACGGTTACTGAGGTTACAACTGAATCCTACAGGTAGTATAGGTAATACACGGTTACTGAGGTTACTGCTGGATCCTACAGGTATTATAGGTAATACAAGGTTACTGAGGTAACAACTGAATCCTACAGGAATTATAGGTAATACATGGTTACTGAGGTAACAACTGGATCCTACAGGTATTATAGGGAATACAAGGTTACTGAGGTAACAACTGAATCCTACAGGTATTATAGGTATTACACGGTTACTGAGGTTACAACTGAATCCTACAGGAATTATAGGTAATAAATACAAGGTTACAACTGGATCCTACAGGTATTATAGGAAATACATGGTTACTGAGGTTACAACTGAATCCTACAGGTAATATATAGGTAATACAAGGTTACTGAGGTTACAGCTGAATCCTAGCAGTTAATGATGTATAGTTACCACATCTTGTAGGATCCTGTCACTACACAAGGTGAGGAGAGCATTCTTCTGAAGCTGAAATTTAAATGAAAAAGGTCCAAGTTACTGTCTCAATTTTTTTGTTCTTCATAATAAAAATCAATGTCTTAATTTTGCACTTTTGTCACATTTATTGTTTTTCAACTTAAATATTGTCTTTATGATTATCACATATAATTTGTCTCAAATTCTATTTGGTCATTATCACATATTATCAAAAAGATTTGAAAGGTCCTTTCACTCTAAACCACATTTCATGTGAAACTAAAATTAGCCTTTAACTATTACAGGATCTTAAATGAGTGTCCATTTCAAATGAAAAAATTATCAAACAAGTCTAAAATATGTAATTCAATTGAACCTCTGGCAAGCTAAAATGCAAAACTTGTGTTGAGTTTCCCTAAACAACGTGGTAGCCATGTGATAAGAAGGTAATAGTTTTTACACAAAACGATTGTCTTAAACATGTATAGGGTCTGTGACTGTGTTTTCAATAACTTGTGTGAAATGCACCACATTGTTCTACTGCAGAAAAAGAAAGCAAAATAAAAAGTAAAGATTTTCTATCAGGAGTTCAAAAGTTTTCATCTTCAGTTTAAAATTGTAATATAGTCCAAGGTGACCTACTTGTTGGTGATTGGGAAAATTATCCATGGACAGCAAGGTCAAGTTGACCACATGCTTGAGACAAGACGGGTGGACTTTGTTGCCTATGTCGCCCTTGGACAGGTTGTACAGACAGGCTGTGGCTGCCATTTGTACCCCTAACTGTTTAGGGTGGCTCTTCATCGCTGGCAGGACAAGCTAAAACACAAACACAAAATTGTAAGATATACATGTATTGACATAACAATACTCCACATGTAGCAAATATTGTGTGCAAAAGGGAGTCTAAACAGTACATACCTACCCTGACAATGTCCAGTCTAGGCTCTTCCATGGACAGTGTGAGTCTAAACAGTACATACCTACCCTGACAATGTCCTCTCCAGGCTCTTCCATGGACTGTGTGAGTCTAAACAGTATGTACCTACCCTGACAATGTCCTCTCTAGGCTCTTCCATGGACTGTGTGAGTCTTAACAGCACATACCTACCCTGAGAATGTCCTCTCTAGGCTCTTCCATGGACAGTGCGAGTCTAAACAGTACATACCTACCCTGAAAATGTCCTCTCTAGGCTCTTCCATGGACAGTGCGAGTTTAAACAGTACATACCTACCCTGACAATGTCCTCTCTAGGCTTATCCATGGACAGTGCGAGTCTAAACAGTACATACCTACCCTGACAATGTCCTCTCTAGGCTCTTCCATGGACTGTGTGAGTCTAAGCAGTACATACCAACCCTGACAATGTCCTCTCTAGGCTCTTCCATGGACAGTGCGAGTCTAAACAGTACATACCTACCCTGAAAATGTCCTTTCCAGGCTCTTCCATGGACTGTGTGAGTCTAAACAGCACATACCTACCCTGACAATGTCCTCTCTAGACTCTTCCATGGACTGTGGGAGTCTAAACAGTACATACCTACCCTGACAATGTCCTCTCTAGGCTCTTCCAGGGACTGTGTGAGTCTTAACAGTATGTTCTATATCCCTACCCTGAAAATGTCCTTTCCAGGCTCTTCCATGTACTGTGTGAGTCTAAACAGCACATACCTACCCTGACAATGTCCTCTCTAGGCTATTCCATGGACAGTGTGAGTCTAAACAGTACATACCTACCCTGACAATGTCCTCTCTAGGCTCTTCCAGGGACTGTGTGAGTCTTAACAGTATGTTCTATATACCTACCCTGACAATGTCTTCTCTAGACTCTTCCATGGCCGGTGTAAGTCTAAACAGTATGTACCTACCCTGATAATGTCTTCTTTAGGCTCTTCCATGGCCTACATGTGAGTCTAAACAGTACATACCTACCCTGACAATGTCCTCTCTAGGCTCTTCCATGGACTGTGTGAGTCTTAACAGTACATACTTACCCTGACAATGTCTTCTCTAGGCTCTTCCATGGCCTGTCTAAGTCCAAACAGTATGTACTATGTACCTACCCTGACAATGTCTTCTCTAGGCTCTTCCATGGCCTGTGTAAGTCTAAACAGTACATACTTACCCTGACAATGTCTTCTCTAGGCTCTTCCATGGCCTGTGTAAGTCTAAACAGTATGTACTATGTACCTACCCTGACAATGTCTTCTCTAGGCTCTTCCATGGCCTGTGTAAGTCTTAACAGTACATACTTACCCTGACAATGTCTTCTCTAGGCTCTTCCATGGCCTGTGTAAGTCTAAACAGTATGTACTATGTACCTACCCTGACAATGTCTTCTCTAGGCTCTTCCATGGCCTGTGTAAGTCTAAACAGCGTGTACAGTGACTTCTGTACATACACAACACGCTGGACGTATCGCCTCAGAGCCTCAAGAACCTGTCGTTCATTAGCGTCACCACTTATCTGAAAACAGACAATTATGCAAAGCATAATCTTTCACATTGTACACCTTTTACTTTTTGCAGATAAAATGAAGCTGATTTTGAGGAATATGAAATCATAATTGTTGTTTTATTACAATGGAGTCTGTCCTTTGAAACAAGTCATAGAAGATTGTCAAAAAGAAACAGAATGTGTAATATACAACAGACATTCTTGAATGATTTCCTTTTGAAGATCTATATATGGATACTGCAGAAAGAGCCTGGTAGGCCTAGGGTACAGTAAAGATCTCAAATATTGCTCACTTATTGATATGATTGTTTAATCCTTGTGCTTAAATTCTTATGTGTTTTCTTTGGTAACAGGGTTTTTAGAAAAAGTTGCTGTAGTCGCTTATGCTGAATATTCAATCTGAAGAATAGTACTCTCAATAATATCAGGTCCTGCTATATCTGATTTTGGTAAGTAGTACGTATACATATACCTGTACTTGAGAATTACAAATCACTTAAATATGTGAAGACTCAATTTAAAATCAATCATGACATGTAAGATATGAATTGTTGTTAATTTCTCTGACACAGTGACACTGTGTGCAGCAAAATTTTTACAGCATCTTTACTTTCTTTTTTTTGCCAACTCCAATGAGGGTAATTCTATCATGACAGAAAATATATGTATACACCATTGATAGTAATCACTTGTGAAAGTTTGACTGGTGAAGGGTGAAAGTTTGACAGGTGAAGGATGAAAGTTTGACTGGTAAAGAGAGAAAGTTTGACTGGTGAAGGGTGAAAGTTTGACTGGTGGAGGGTGAAAGTTTGACTGGTGAAGGGTGAAAGTGTGACAGGTGAAGGATGCAAGTTTGACTGGTAAAGAGAGAAAGTTTGACTTGTGAAGGGTGAAACAGTTGACTGGTGAAGGGTGAAAATTTGACTGGTAAAGAATGAAAGTTTGAGTGATGAAGGGTGAAAGTTTGACTGGTGAAGGGTAGAAGTTTGACTGGTGAAGGGTGAAAGTTTGACTGGTGAAGGGTGAAAGTTTGACTTGTGAAGGGTGAAAGTTTGATTCTATGAAGGATGAAAGTTTGACTGGTAAAGAGAGAAAGTTTGACTGGTAAAGAGAGAAAGTTTGACTGGTGAAGGGTGAAAGTTTGATTCTATGAAGGATGAAAGTTTGACTGGTAAAGAGAGAAAGTTTGACTGGTGAAGGGTGAAAGTTTGACTGGTGAAGGGTGAAAGTTTGGCTGGTAAAGAGAGAAAGTTTGACTGGTGAAGGGTTAAAGTTTGACTGGTGAAGGGTGAAAGTTTGATTGGTGCAGGGTGAAAGTTTGACTGGTGAAAGGTGTAAGTTTGACTTGGTGAAGCTTAAGGGTGAAAGTTTGATTCTATGAAGGTTTCCAGGTACACATATACAGTTAAACAACAAGAGGCCCTTGGGCCTAAACGGTCACCTGACTACAAAGACTGAGAAGGGAGAAGGGAAACAGTGACACTGTGTGCAGCAAAATTTTTGCAGGATCTTTACTTTCTTTTTTTTGCCAACTCCAATGAGGGTAATTCTATCATGACAGAAAATATATGTATACACCATTGATAGTAATCACTTGTGAAAGTTTGACTGGTGAAGGGTGAAAGTTTGATTGGTGCAGGGTGAAAGTTTGACTGGTGAAAGGTGTAAGTTTGACTTGGTGAAGCTTAAGGGTGAAAGTTTGATTCTATGAAGGTTTCCAGGTACACATATACAGTTAAACAACAAGAGGCCCTTGGGCTTAAACGGTCACCTGACTACAAAGACTGAGAAGGGAGAATGGTAACTTTTCAACTTTCAATGAAATATTATCAATCCCACTGGTGGAAGTTAGGAAGAAGCTTAAAATGTGTTTTTTAAGATGGTGGCCATCTTGGATTTTGGACAGATCCGAAAAAACACTTGGTCAAGACCATCTCAGGATCATTTCAGGCAAGTTTCAGCTCAATCCCACTGATGGAACCTGAGAAGAAGTTTAAAATGTTGAAAGTTTACGGACGGCACACAACAACGGACGACTATAGGTCATCCTGACCCTTTGGGTCAGATGACCTAATAACTATATATTTGTTCTGCAGCCAGTTTCAAAGTTCAAAGATCAGAATATTATACAATGAGCATGTCAGTGAAGTGAAACATGTGATTAACAGCAGGTACTAGAAGTTCCATCTATCAAAGAAACCTGTAACTTACTGTGAGAATCATTACCACATACCACAATATCACAGGAGAAATCGGCACGGTCGTCATCACAGAACATCGGCATCTCACAATACGTGGTCCGTGCCAATCCAAGGAATTTTATATTTTTGTGTTCAGATAGAAACCTCCTACAAAATATAGCAAAATATATATGTGTCATTTGCTTGTCTATAGTAAGTAAGAAAACTCTAAAACATATATCAATGTCACGTATTGGGCTAGAAAGATACATGTAGGTTACACTTGTTTAGCTTGTACGTAACGATAATGTGAAGAAATCAATATGAAGATCTAGATATGTACATTGTACATGGGTGTACATGCATGTACATGCATGTACATGTTAATTTCCACTGACCCAGTATACGTACTGAACAACAGTACAATTTATGTAATATAATATAAGGGATTAGCGAATATTTCCAACATTTGAAATAAAAAAGACCTTTTTACCAATAAGTGCATGATTTGAGAAATTTGATTAAAGAAATTTAAGAAAAAGCTTTGCACAAACAAGTCAAGGTAAAGTCAAGGTAACTGTCTTTATGTGTTCAACTGCAGTTTATTGTAAAACATCATCTTCTCATCATTATTCAAATTACTTAATTTATTCTGAACAAGCCCAGGGGACCACTACATAATCCCCCACTCAAAATAGGGTATGGAATTGTTAAAAGACAATAAAGTATTGATGGTCGCTATTACTACTGAACTACCAGAGATATTGCAGTGTTTATTACCTGAGAGGGGCTTATAGCTTGTTAAATAGTGTACCTCAATGTCTTTTCAGCAGCTCCCTCTTATTGATATTGCAGTGTTTATTACCCGAGAGGGGCTTATAGCTTGTTAAATAGGGTAACAATCAATAATGTACCTCAATGTATTTTCAGCAGCTCCCTCTTTTCCTGAGATATCCAGAGAGGTCAAGTATGGCAGACAGTTAGATTTTTCCAAAAGATCCTGTATTGGGAATTTAGCATGCGAATCACCGCCCATGAAAGTATGCTGGACTGGAGTTATCACAGAATCATCGGACACATCCAGGTGGACAAGCTTGGTAAGGTCATACAATACAGGAACCACATCATCTTTGTTGGCCGCCCGTAAATTGTACATTGACAGAGATTTTAACCGGTCTCTACATTTCCTGAGTGGTGAAATATCATTTATCTGTGTGCATGAGATGTCCAAGCTCTCTAAGCATGGCAAGTCCTCTGCTATAATCTCCAGGCCATGCTTGTTGAATTCAGTTCGACTTACATTCAAACTGTGCAGATTTCTCAACTTCGACAAAGAAACAACCACACAGAATTTTGTACTGTTCAGAAATGTACTATTGCAAACATTCAGAGATCGTAAATTACACAAAGCCCACTCTCCTAGACATCCTATTGCATCGTTCACCGTTACACTCTTAAGTCCTGTGATTTCCAATTCTGAAATACGATGTGTTTTTAACGTCCTCAGACCTTTGGTGGTCAGTTGTGCGTCGTGTATACAAACACGTTTCAGATTGGTGACATTTGGATCAAATAAACTCAGTGTTTCATCCGTTAGCTTTCCTTTCTCACACAGACTGTGTAGTAGCTGCTCCGAAAGGTCCCCATGGAAATACACATCTGAATCTTTGAATGCAAGTTTTAGTGGGGTTTCAGCTGAGGCCAAGCATAGCGTTGACAAATTGTCACATATAAAATCAACGCAGCAGTTTTGCAGGCTGACTGGTGTGTCATACATCTCTCTAGCTGGTATATGGAGATAAAACTCTGTAATAAAGAATACAAATACAGAGTACAAACCTATGGAAACTTCAACATCAGAACATGTAATGAGAAAGACATCACATTATATTTCCTTTATCCTGTTTCTCAATTCCAAAGGGACTGTAAATGGAAACAATTGCTGTTTCCTCTTGAAATCTAACACCAGGTAATTAACACCTGTTTTGTCCACATTACATGCATAAATGCTATGTAAGCTCATCACTTAGTCTCACTTCTTCCTGGTAGTGACTGTCACACTTCATTAACACTTAGTAGATACACACATATATAAGTTATGCTATGCTATGTACAGTTTTATATTCACAATTATTGTATCAACAGAAGTGATATTTAGTGTGTAAACCAACAGCCATGTGACAGCTCCCTTTCTCATGGGCAGTACCCTTATCATTTACCTAGAAAACAAAAACTCTTTATGAAAAAATCATAATCTTCCTATCATTGGATATGATGTTACAAGAAATTGCTGATTTGTTGAAAATTTGTCCATAAACACTATAAGTGAGTTTCTGCTCTATAGAAGGCATGTGATTAGCTATAATTAAAAAACATGCTTTAATTTATGAAACATTCTTCGTGAAAAAAATCAATTTGATTCTCTTAAAAAACTAGTATCACTACCTGTGAAGAAAATTTCCCAACCAAAACTCAACCTCCCTGTATTACATGTGGGAAAAAAACTATCTGCTATATGTGATCTGAAGTTTAAACCACGAAATAAAGATAAATAAAGTCTACTGATTTTTATTCTCTAAAAATTGAGATTACAGGATAACTAACAGGTGCTTTACTTTTGGTTGAAGTACCTTTTTTATTACTTTACAGACTAAACAATAGGATTCCTTTGTTTGTACATGATACAGAGCCCCCAGGAATTACTTTGAGGAGAGAGCCCCCAGGAATTACTTTGAGGAGAGAGCCCCCAGGAATTACTTTGAGGAGAAAGCCCCCAGGAATGACTTTGAGGAGAAAGCCCCCAGGAATTACTTTGAGGAGAGAGCCCCCAGGAATTACTTTGAGGAGAGAGCCCCCAGGAATGTTTTGTATACATGTTCATTTGACACTCATGACTTGACGAGCTTATATTAAGAGGCTACGGACAGCAATTTGGACAAAACATGTCCCATAATGTTAGAAAAGATATAATTTCAGCAATTCAGCCGATATGACTGCCCTTACATTTGTACAATTTTTGATGCCTTAGGTGTAAGAATGCTACCATCACAATTTGGTTGAAACCTACTCTGCATTATGGGTGAAAATGATGTTGGAACAATTCTACTCCATCATTCAGCCACCAAATTGGTCAACTATCTTTTATCTACATATTTCCTATTACGAATGTCACCCTTACAAACATTTCCAGTTGTTTGGGTTCAGATAATGTCAAATCAGCCAATTTGACCTCTGATCATCAAATTATAATTTAATGTGGATTAAAATCAGTATGATGTCAGCTACATGTATGCCTAGCTCTAACACCATTCGATCTAAAAGTATAATGGACCAGACTGAGTCTGTTGTAATGTGATGTAATGGACCAGGCTGTGTCTGTTGTAATGTGATGTAATGGACCAGACTGTGTCTGTTGTAATGTGATGTAATGGACCAGACTGAGTCTGTTGTAATGTGATGTAATGGACCAGACTGAGTCTGTTGTAATGTGATGTAATGGACCAGACTGAGTCTGTTGTAATGTGATGTAATGGACCAGACTGAGTCTGTTGTAATGTGATGTAATGGACCAGACTGAGTCTGTTGTAATGTGATGTAATGGACCAGACTGAGTCTGTTGTAATGTGATGTAATGGACCAGACTGAGTCTGTTGTAATGTGATGTAATGGACCAGACTGAGTCTGTTGTAATGTGATGTAATGGACCAGACTGAGTCTGTTGTAATGTGATGTAATGGACCAGACTGAGTCTGTTGTAATGTGATGTAATGGACCAGACTGAGTCTGTTGTAATGTGATGTAATGGACCAGACTGAGTCTGTTGTAATGTGATGTAATGGACCAGACTGAGTCTGTTGTAATGTGATGTAATGGACCAGACTGAGTCTGTTGTAATGTGATGTAATGGACCAGACTGAGTCTGTTGTAATGTGATGTAATGGACCAGACTGAGTCTGTTGTAATGTGATGTAATGGACCAGACTGAGTCTGTTGTAATGTGATGTAATGGACCAGACTGAGTCTGTTGTAATGTGATGTAATGGACCAGACTGAGTCTGTTGTAATGTGATGTAATGGACCAGACTGAGTCTGTTGTAATGTGATGTAATGGACCAGACTGAGTCTGTTGTAATGTGATGTAATGGACCAGACTGAGTCTGTTGTAATGTGATGTAATGGACCAGACGGAGTCTGTTGTAATGTGATGTAATGGACCAGACTGAGTGATATCACCACTCCAGTGTATTAGGATGAGGAATAGTCATAAAGATAGTGCCATCGCTGGGGCTCTAACCTGTGACCCTTGGTTCTCCAGCCCGATGCTCTAATGCTAAGCTAAAGGAAAAACCATACAGCTGACGCTTGTAAGGCAACCTGATCAATGCTCTTCTTTTACACTAGCATCAATTAAATGGGTCAGCAAACCATGATACAGACTTTTTACCTGTATGGTCGGTGGTCCGTAGTAGCCACAGGGCACAGGTGTTACATGTGTATGGTCGGTGGTCCGTAGTAGCCACAGGGCACAGGTGTTACATGCGTATGGTCGGTGGTCTGTAGTAGCCACAGGGCACAGGTGTTACATGTGTTACTTTTGCAAGAAGGACAACACAAAATTGAAATAAATAAATTACCAAAATTGAATTAATACATAAATATTCATTCCACTTGGGCATTTTACTAATAAACAACAAGAGGCCCATGGGCCTTAACGGTCATCTGATATATTTATACAGAGAGTTGATTTTGTTACATGAACAGAAATATTATTCAAAGTGACAAAAAACAATAAAACCACCTTATTCAATATCTAGCATACAGATTTAAGACTAAAAAGTATTTGAAACTAGCACCTCTGATTCTAAACAAGGAAAATGAAGAAGTTTTAGCACACTGACTCCTTTGGACCCCACCCTACAGCCCTTGGGGGTAGGACTGGCTCAAAATTTTCAAAGTATCAAACCAACAACTCAGGGTTATAATTCCAATCAAGTTATTAACATGTAATATTTAAAGTATCATTTGCCATTATAAACCATAATGAATTTTGCCCCCCCCCCCCCCCTCCTTCCCCAGGGGTAAACGTGAGACCCTAGGGTCATAAACCTTATATATTAAGACCCTTCCATCTATGAAGAGTGTTTGATTCTACCATATCTGGGTCTTTGAGAAGATGATTTCTGAAATTTCTGTCAATTCAACCCTTTTTGGCCCCACCCATCAGCCCCGGGGGTCAGTCAGGGCTCATATATGCATACCATCAAACTGCTACCCAATACTGATAATGCTAACCCAAATTGAATTACTTCCAATGAAAATTAAACAAATGTTGGTCCAAAATGTGATTTCCCTATATAAACTATAGTAAAGTTTACCCCCTCCCCAGGGGGAAATGTGAGACCCAAGGGTCATGAAATTCACAATTTTGGTAAAGCACCTTAAGACCCTTCCATCTATGAAGAGTATTTGATTCTACCATATCTGGGTCTTTGAGAAGATGATTTCTGAAATTTCTGTCAATTCAACCCTTTTTGACCCCACCCATCAGCCCCGGGGGTCAGTCAGGGCTCATATGTGCATACCATCAAACTGCTACCCAATACTGATAATGCTAACCCAAATTGAATTACTTCCAATGAAAATTAAACAAATGTTGGTCCAAAATGTGATTTCCCTATATAAACTATAGTAAAGTTTACCCCCCCCCACCCCCCACCCCAGGGAGAGCATGAGACCCCAGGGTCATAAAATTCACAATTTTGGTAGAGCACCTTAAGACCCTTCCATCTATGAAGAGTATTTGATTCTACCATATCTGGGTCTTGAGAAGAAGATTTTTGAAATTTTAGTCAATTTGACCCCTTTTGACCCCTTTTTTAGAAGCCTGGGGACCAAATCGGACCTTATTTTTGTTGACCTTTGGCCATGGAAGGTTTCTGCAAAATTTCATTGAGATTGGTTCAGGGGTTTTGGAGAAGAAGTCATAAATGTAAACTGTTTACGGATCGACGCACGCCAGACGCCGCCGGACAAAAGGCGATTGCAATAGGTCACTTGAGACTTTGTCTCACGTGACCTAATAAAAGAAAAGATAAAGGGCCTAGACCAGTATCTAAATAAATTTTGTGCAACATGACATATATTGTTCAGACAGCATTTGTCGCAAAATATACTGGAAATTTGGAATAGTGACACCCCGCTGAAAAAATTCTGGATCCGACATTTGGAATCTATGAAATTTAACTTTTAATTTCTTTCGTTATTGATTGTGACAATGATTTAAGCGCTTTTTGCTATATTGAAGTTAAATATCATGAAAGAAGTAAAAACGTGAAACACATAGAAAATATTTTAGACATGTGCATCAATTCATCAAATCCAGCAAATATATTTTGAACAATGTTTTTTATTGTGTATTTGTGTCGGTGCATGTGAACCAAGCTCTGCCTATCATTGAAACCATGGTAATGGTACGTATCTACAGAAGAAAGAAAATTAAAAATCCCAAAACGTCTTTTGATAAGTCCCGAAACGACCCGTAAAAAAGTCTTGAAACAACTTGTGGGAAACATATCGGCTCGCGAAATTTTGTAATTCCTCGATCTTCACGCCTTTTGATTTTGATCACTGCTAACATTCATGTCATTATATTTCAAAAAGAAGATTTTGTAACTGTAGCAGTGGTGGATTTTGAAGATTAAATAATCAACATCAACATTAATGATTTACCCTGCAATTGTATAATATTTACATCAGATATGCATACACTTATACATACATATAAAAAAACAAGTTAAATGACACAGTATATATCAGGTCCAGTACACTCTGCCGATTGAGCTATATAGCTATAAAGACCTATATAGCTATATTCAGTGAATCACCTATAGATACTTTATAGCTGTATTGAGCTATATTTTCTCAGATTTCAATTTTCATTAAATTAAAGCAAAGTCGCATAAAACAATAAGGTTTATGGTAAATGTTGACTACAAAAAGCATTCAGTTAGATGTTTATTTTCATTTTTTATATAAATGTAAAATTTCCGATTTTTTTTACATCATTATTTTTAAAAAAGAATACTTATATTTAATGTCTTTTGTTATCAACCTCATGATACAATCTTCTTTTAATAGCGACTTTGTTTTCTTTTCCTTAAAAAAGAAAATCACATGAAAATAGCTCAAAAGACCTATTTCAGATAGGTCAATAGAGTTAGTATAGGTCTTAACATCTATATAGCTCAATCGGCAGAGTGTACTGGACCTGTATATATATATGTATGTATTTCTTTGTCATACAGAAAATATGAGTACACATAAAAACCTTGGATAATTCCTTACAAGCTCAAATGCCCCTGTTCCACAAATAGGTACAGTTTTCTATCTGAAACTTATAATACTGTATGAATGTATTTTTTGTACTCTTTGGCTGTTATTAGTCCGAATTATTCTGACGTTTTATCAACTTTTTTTTATAATATGCGGGAAATAAGCGACCCACACCCGGGTCGCACTTCAAACTGATATTTTAGAAACAAATTGTCACTTTCACACACATGTCGCACATGGATCGAAAGATCTATTCTTTATGCACAAGATGAACATAAATTACATGCCTCAAACAACCAATACAATCACTAAAAACATATTTTTTCAAACTTACTCTGTTTTACTCTTGTTTTTTTAAAGCCCCACCTTCTAATGCCACGTGACCAAATCTCGCCGGCCTACGTCATAACGTTGGGAAATACCTTCTGTAATGCGAGATCTCGTGACATTGCTCATGCCCTAATTTCCATTAAAAACATGGGTTGGTATAGAAAACGTTGGCAAATACTTTTCGTTATGATCTTTGAAACATGTTATTGATACCAACTAGTGCATAAAGGATAGATCTTTCGATCCATGTACGACATGTGTGTGAAAGTGACGATTTGTTTCTAAAATATCAGTTTGAAGTGCGACCCGGGTGCGGGTCGCTTATTTCCCGCATGTTATAGAAGGCCGGAGTTCTGATGTTAATCGACGACAGACCGATATAAAAAAGTCGATAAAACGTCAGAATAATTCGGACTAGCGCTTAATATAAGGTAAGATTTACATCATATGTACAATATCACGTGTATATGTAATATAACGTTTGTAATTTATAGAACTATACTCGTACATGAAACATCTTCTAAGATAACTTCTTGTAAATTCATATTGTGATACATGTAATAAGTGTATGCATATCTGAAATGTAATTATAATACAATTGCAGGGTAAAATCATTTATGTTGATGGAATCGGTGACTAGTCTAGATCTACGCACAATAAAACGGAAGAACTCTCTCAGTGTTTGTTGATGTGTATAAAATATTCAAAACCCACCACTGCTACATAACACATATAGTAAACGTAAATGAAACGGAAGTTTCATAACAAATCGAAAAGTTTCACCACATCCATGACAGTTCGAGTTCCTGTGACAGTAAGTTCGGGAAAATGAGTAAATGACAAGTGATCGCCATTACCTATTTACGCAAGCTGTTCACCTCAAATCAGAGTCGGTAAGTCATAAATCTGATGACATTCCATCTCTTGTTCTCCATAAAACACCAAACTCATATAAAAACAAGCTTTTAGAAACGTGACATTCCCCTTTCCTTCCCGGATGTGAATGTCCGAAAGTTCAGTCAAGGGAAGCTACTCCAAACTACCAATGCTAAGATTTTCCCCGGGTAGAATCTGACATTCCGTTTCCGCAATCAGGAACCATCGGCACTTGTCTGTATCCGTTGTGCGTGCGTTAAAATAATTATAATAAACAACATTTATAAAGCACCCTATATAATTTGTAAAATTACTCTAAAGCGCTTTACACAATATGGTTATTAATTGATAAACAAAAAGGCATATAAATAACCATTATATCCTCGGGTTACCGGTTTCCGCGCAATTAAAAAGCATCCGCGATTTCGTACAGTTGTTACGTCAGTAGCGGATCACTCGGCGAAAAAACGATCCACAATATTTCTGAGAACAGGGTTACCACAAACATCGTATATTTATAGAATGTACCAAGTATATCCTTTCGTGTCATTTTAAAATAATTTATGAACATTGACCATATAAAACAAAATTAGCAAAACAAAACCTACCGAGATTGTATCTATAACGGATCACGTTTTCTATAACGGATCGCGCCCCCTGGTGGGCCTCTGACGGTAATGCTCGATTACTGGTTGATCTCAAAACATTTTTCTTTTAGGTAAGCGACCCAATAGATACATGGACAATTTCAACGACGATGTCGGCTTAGTTAAACCACGGAATTAGATTATCTAAGTCCGTGGTTAAACGCTTTTGCTCAACTCCCTCTGCTAAGTAAAATACAACGTCGGTATGCTCAATTGTCCATGGGGTTCCAATAAATGAAACGAAATTGTATAACGTCACGCTACCACAATTTGGTACAATTTTGACATTAAAAAATTCAGATCATGTATCTGAACTGTTTCTTGATTCTTGACAATTAAGATAAACCATGATTGTTCAATTTCAGAAAAGTTTGATTCTAAGTAATTTGATTTTCAAAATAGAACGCTAAACTCCCAGTGAGATTTCGTCCGTTTTTTCGGCCAGGATTACCATATCACAGGCCATGAAATTTAACTTGTTTGTAATTAAACTAGTTGAGGTGTCGACACCTTGCACCCCTGGCATTGGTCATAGCATAATTGAAGGCTCGGTGTGCGCAACTTTGTTTTTTCAAATTAACATGTTTTTATTTAACCTTTTGCATATTATACATTTGACAGTATATTGTACATGTTAAAATTAATATATCTGGTATATAAATATATAGATCTGTGAACAATATACAATGAAAATTCCTCTTGACTGCCCATCTTATATTTTTCCTGGACACTGTTTTTTATTTTTTTTATTTTTTTTTATTAATGACTCAGGAAGGTATTTACTGTATTTTTGTTCCTGTTATGGTATTTAATATAGTTATCAGGCATTCAAAAGGATTCATTGTGCATGTAAAAAGGTTAAAAAAAAAAATCTACATCGACATATCTCTCACTCACGCATTCTCACATTTTCACAATAAACGTGCACATGATATGTTGTATGTGGTAATTCTATTCGGTCTGCAGGACTGCGGCATTGGTTATTGAATTTGGGACCATTTATTTTCAAATTTTTCGTATTCCATGTTTTTTTTTGCTATGATTTCTTCATATTGTATATACCTGTCCAGTTCTGTTTTAAAACCTAAAACACTTGGTATGCATTTTCTCAGTTTTTGCTTATAAATGTGGAATTTAGCGATTATAATTATAATGTTTAGAGATCTTATTTCTTGTTTGTGTATTAGTTTGCCTAGTATTACATCATTATTCTGGAGTTGCATAATTTTATTGGTTTTGTTTTGTAGCCATAATTTTAGTTCATCCCAAAAGTTTTCTACTATTCTGCATTCCCAAAACAAATGGATTAATGTTTCAGTATGTCTATTGCAAAAGGTGCATAATGGAGAGTCGTTTATTTTAATCATATGCAGATATTTATTAGTACTTATGATTCTATGCACTATTCTGTATTGGAACCATCGTAGTTTACATTCAATCGTTGATTTAAATGGGATTACGTTAATTTTTCTCCACCATATATCATTTTCTGCTAAGTCAAGTCCAGTAGACCATTTCATTTTATGTATATTGTTTGTTTTTAAGTCTTTGATCAATAAATGATATATTGACATTCCTCTTTGTTTGTTTGTTATTATACAATATATGTGTTTTGGGCATTGGGGTAGCATAAAGGTGTGCGGTCTATCTTGTATTACATTCCAAGCAGATATGATAGCATTTCGAATGCCGTAGAACCTTGTAACTGGTGGGCGAAAATTGAATTTATCACAGAATTCTTCATATGACTGGATTAATTCTCTTTCATTTAATAAGTCTTAAAGTGCACTGGTTTGCTATCAATCTTTATTTTATTATTATACCATAAATGTTGATAAATATTGTCGTCCTCGTCCACAGTATTGGAAAAGCAGTATAGGTCATTTAGAACTTCCTTCGAAAAAAGGTTTCTGATCAGGCTTGCTTTCTTTTTTATAAATTCTTTTCCATAGTTAATAATGGAGTTTATATTGTCTCCAATTATACTCTCAAATATGTATGTACAAGTTCCGTTTAACTTTAAAAGTCTTTAAATCCAAGACAGTTTCATTGACTTTATAAACTGTTCCATGTTTATCATTTTTAAACCACCCTCTTCATATGGTTTTACAATTTGATTTCTTGAAATTCTGTCCGGTTTATTGTTCCATATAAATTTAAAAAACATTTGTTCCATGTTTTTTAGCATTATTGTATTAGGTTTTGGGATATTAGTAAATAAGTGTGTTATTTTAGGTAAGATTATGCTCTTTATCACTGTTATTTTACCCATCGTGCTTAGTATTCTCTTTGACCAGATATGGACTAGTGCTTTTACCTCTTTCATTTTATCTGTATAATTTAGTTCGGTTATAAGATTGATATCGACACTTAGCTTTATACCTAGAAATATAAATGGTTCATCAGTCCAATTTAACTTTATGTCAATACATAGTCTATCATTACTGTGGGCTTTGCTGCCTATCCATATGCACTTTGTTTTATCAATGTTGGGTTTTAAACCGGAGTATTTTGCATATTGGTCCAGCAAGTTAAGTGTTGATCTTAGCCCTTCTTCAGAGCCATCTAGGGTTATGCCTGTGTCATCTGCATATTGGGAGAGCTTTGATTCTTTATTGTTTATATTGATTCCTTTGATTTTTTTGTTGTTTCTTATCATAATTCCTAGAATTTCTACACATAGTATAAATAGATATGGTGATATTGGATCGCCTTGTCTACATCCGCGCCCAATTTTAAAAAAGTCGGAGAATATTCCATGTTGAATAACACATAGCTTTGCGTTTTTTATTAATGTATTTATCATACTTATGTATTTTTCTCCAAAATTGAAAAAGTGTAATACTTTATTTATAAAACTCCACGCTATCGAGTCAAATGCTTTTTCGAAATCGATTAGTACAAGTATCCCTGGGATTTTTTTTTCTTCTGCGTATTGTATAGTGTCGTAAATTTGTCTTATATTTTCCCCTATAAACCTTCCTTTTATAAAGCCTTTCTGATTTTCATGAATTATGTCATTAATAACTTCTTTGATGCGTTGAGCTAGGCAATTTGATAAGATTTTGTAGGACAGATTTAGTAGTGATATTGGTCTCCAGTTTTTTAGATGTTCCCTGGGTTTATTTCCTTTTGGAAAAATAGTTATTACTCCTTGAGTTTGTGTTATTGAGAGTTCTCCTCTTTCTATGCCTGCATTTAATGATTTCAAAAGATAGAATTTTATATCGGTCCAGAAAAACTTGTAAAATTCTGCTGTAAATCCGTCTGGCCCCGGACTTTTGCCATTTTTAAGGTTTTTTGTTGATATACCTAATTCGTTGATTGTAATTTCTGTTTCCAGCATCAATTTTTTATTCATTGTTAGCTTTGGGATTTCATAAACCTTTAATTTTTCATTCAGATTAATATCTTCAATTTCTTCCTCTTTATCTGAGTAAAGATTATTGTAAAAAAATCTTATTTCTTCCAGTATGCCTTTTTGTTCATTTATCAAGGTACCGTTGTGATTTATCAGTTTGGTTACATTTTAATTAACATAATTTCTTTTTTCTAAATTGCAGAAGTGTTTAGTTGGTTTTTCTCCATCTTCTACCCATTGCGCTCTTGCTCTGATCAAAAGTCCCTTCATATATTCATTTCGCATATTTTCATGTTCATGTTTCAGATTTGTTAATATTTCTTCTAGTATTATATTATGTGCCTTGCATAGCATGTCTTCAATGTTTTTTATTTGTCCTTCTATGTTTTCAAATCTCTCCTTATTTTTTCTTTTTTTTGTTACCACTGTAGGGGATTGTCATGGACCGAATTTTCAGCAAAATCATTTCGAAAAAAAAGTTGTTCTCCTATTCTAGATTGATAGTTGGCTGGGTCAACGTTTTTTATTTCTTCAAATTTGTATTCTGGGGATGCATATTCTATTTTTGGCTCTTCGATACATTCTTTTACCTTGTTTATGTATGTTTTGTCCTTAAGTAGCGTATTATTGAATTTCCAAAACCCTTGGACTCTTTTGAAATTGACTACCAGGTAGTTTTAATTGTAATATAATCATTGAGTGATCTGTTTTATATCCTGGTTATCACCCAGTTCATCAATTCTTTTGAAATGAGAAAAAAATCTAACCTGGCTTTTTTTTATTGGTTTTTTCTTGAACCATGTATATCGCCGTAAGTTTGAATTTTTGGTTCTCCAAGTATCTTCTAAATTAAATTCTTCTTGGATTTCAATTAGTTCTTGTCTTGCTTTTATGTTATTATTTGAGTTATAGTTATAGTAATCCAGATTAAAGTCTTGTACCATATTCATATCTCCGCATAGGATTATGGCTTCTTCAGCATAAGATATTTTATTTTTTATTTCTTTTATAAAATTCTGGGTCATCTTTATTGGGGCCATAAACATTTATCAAGGTAATTGTTAATTTATTTTCTATTTCTATTTGCATTCCTCGTCTGTCGTAATCTGCTTGACTTCACAGTCAAATTTTTTTTTAAGAGAATGGATACGCCCCTTGAATTCCTTTTTCCATGACAAATATTCAGTCTTTCCTTTCGTACTTCTCTCATATCTACAAACATACATATAAACATGAAAATCTTCCGTCTCTCAGCCTTCACGTTCCTCTTCAGCATGTATATTCTTTACAAGTGTAGACTAGTACTTTGTTGACTAGAAATCTTGCATAACAACTTGCAAGTTACATGCAAACATGTTTGTATTGATGGTGGGTGGGAGGGGGTTGGGTGGTAAGTATATATTGTACATGCTTTTTGTACTAAGTGTACATGTCTCCGTAGACCGCACTGTGCATATCCTTTCCTGTGTATTTCATTATTAAATTAAGATATAATGATATGTATGACAAGGTTTATATTACATGTTCATAATATTATTACCAGTGTTATCCCTGCGGCCGATACCAGTCAGCTCACTCATCGGTCGCCATCGATATCCAGTGGTGTTTAGTTACAAGACATATTAAAATTCTGTATATCAGACGATAAAGTAAAAAAGCCATAGCCAAATTACTCTTGTAGCTATAATGTGTTGACATCGACCGCATTCAATGTGGTGCACTATCCAGTCTCGACCCAGAGATGTACCAGGTTACATACTGTGTATCTTATTATTTAGTTACCACATTGGAAGCCAATTTCACTTGGTTGTTGCCTATATTTTAGATACCTTGTTCTTATAAATAATTACATCTCTTTACAACTGCATTCCCTCCTGTCATTTAGTTCATAGAGAGGTACAACCCAGCGAGATAAAGCATATTAACCTGCAGTGTGGGAACTGCCTTCCAAGAGTGGTTTATGGATATAATATTTGTATCATCGTATATATCAGAATTTGCATTAGATGATTACATATGCATGTTATATTTATACAATGTAATTACCTGAAGCCGAGACCAACCAGCGTGCGTACCTGGCCATTCCATGATTCGACGATCCGTTACACCGAGATCGTCGAATCAGACTCTGTTGTTTTTTACTTTGTTTTTGCAAGTGGTGCAAATATCACAGAACACCAGACTTTTGGGGCAACTTTTTTCTAAGGTATCATCACTCACCAATCCAGTGATTTTGATATGGTTTGGAACATGTGAACTCACTACTAAGGTAGGGAGGTTAGTAAGTCTCATACCAGATATATCAACAAAGTGCAGTATTCTTCTAGAAAACTACAAAATACTGAAAGATCAAATTCTTATCGCCAATAGATCGTCAACAATAGTATTCCTGGACATACCATATTTTTCTACCACACTATGAAATCAGAGAAAAGGTCAACATCATAATCAACAACAACACCCAGATGTAGTCTCACCACCTGACTCTGAGCTAAACTCTGCCCTGGATTTCCTAAACAATGAAACTAAATTAATAAATACAGAATATCTCAGCCCCCGCTTGTCACAAGACATCATACAGCGCAGCAAAAACAAATCAGTAGCAATTAAATATAGAAGGAACTTTAGCCTGTATACGGACGGTATCCACCCAAACAACTCTGTGTCAAGACTCTGGCTACTCAGGTGCCAACAGCTGGTGAGGAGAATAAATGGATTCCCATAACGAGTGAGTGTTTGACATTGTATAGTGTGTCATAGGGATTGCCCTGTAACATACTCTGAAAAGGCTACTGTGGTACCTGCTTTTCATGTCATCATTGATTGGCTAATATAAGTGTCATAGTCATTGCCCTGTAGCACTGTCATGACCATCAATGTGTGATATGAACAGTATGATTACTACGACAGCTAAAATACAGTAAGTTAAACCTCACCTCATGGACGCTGGTCTAATATGAACTAGGTTGTAAATTGATAATATCTGATCCTGCCACAACATCATGATGCAGTAAAACCATCAATACAGGTATGTGCCCTAGCCCCGAATAGGAGTGATCAAATCCAGGATGCCGGCGCCCATACGATTGGGTGTTTACATTACCATCATCCCATTCCTCATACCATTACGACCATGGATCCACCCCAATACTGACGCTTACATCACAGGGAAATGGACATTCGAACCAACCATACGCATGATTCTGTCCGGCTCTCTTATTATGGCCATTAATACGAATATCCCCAGACTCAGCAAAATCAAACACGGTCATACACCGGAAACAAACTTGCTCCTAATTCTCCTGATGCTGGCCGGCGATATCCTTTGCAACCCGGGCCCCCCCCAGTATTTCCATGTGGGATATGCGAACTTCCTGTTACATGGAATCACAGAGCGGTTTGCTGTGATAGCTGTGACCTATGGTATCATGAAGAATGCATGGAGATTAGTAACTCTCGGTATGACCACCTACAGAGAGCAAATGTGTCATGGTACTGTTGTCGCTGTGATGGACTGAACGTAGACTCGTTCACCTTTCATTCGTTTGAACTAGAGACATCAAACATCTACAGTGTACTAGATAATGACAACTCGGTGCAATCCATAGATTCCCAGTTCTCTCCAAGGTTCTTTAGTAGCCTTAGACACCAGAGCCATGGAGTGAAACAACGTCATCTATCATCGCACAGTAGTATCCACGCTAGTCATGAAACCACACACTCTACAACATCAGTGAGTGCAACAGACAGGATACGTACATCTACCGCGCAAACAACATCTACAACTTCAAACGCGAATGATCCTGTATCCATTGGAAATCTAGTACCTGATAAACAAAACAACTGGAGAACTCTAATAGTGAACTGCCAATCCATAAAAAACAAATCTGGAGAGCTAAAAACTGCAGTGGATTACATCAAACCTGATGCAGTGATAGGCTGTGAATCCTGGTTAGGCAGTAACATCAAGGACAGTGAGGTCTTCCCAGAGGGGTTTACTGTGTTTAGGAAGGATAGGAACCATCAAGGAGGAGGAGTATTTATTTGTATTAAAGACTGCTTCTCAGTATCAGAAATTCCTGATCCTGACTGTAATAGTGAACTTTTATGGGTGGAGGTGCAACTCAAAGGTGCTAAGAAGGTGAGGATAGGCTCATACTATAGACCACCTGCTACAGGCGAGGACTACATCAGGGGCTTAGAATCATCAATCAGCAAAATCACCAACTCATCCTATAAACATTTGCTGCTAGCAGGAGACTTCAACCTACAACATATAAATTGGAACTCATCTTCAGTCACACCAGGAGCGACACAATCAGCTGTCCATAACATCTTCCTGGACACACTGGACACATTCTCCCTGACCAACGTCCAGAAACAGCCTAGTAGGAACGGAAATGTCCTATACCTCTACATCACCAGGAACCCTTCTCTTGTCAAACATGTACAGACAATCCCCGGTATATCAGACCATGATATGGTAACGATAGACGAGGACATCAAACCTGTATACCACAAGAAGAAGCCGCGTAAAGTACTGATGTACAAAAATGTTGACTGGAAGGCCGTTAAGGAGGATGCGACCAACCTCAGTGACAAACTCACTAATTCTAGTGACTCGGTTGAGGAAAACTGGACGAAATTCAAAAACGGCTTAAATTCCATCATTGACGAGCGCATTCCATCCAAATTGACCTCCAAGAAACCAAATCAGCTACCATGGGTTGGCAGACCAGAACGCCGCCTCATAAAGAGGAAACATCGAATCTACAACAAGGCTAGGAAAAGTGGAAAGGATGCTGACTGGCGTTCGTACAGAGTCCACAAAAGGGAAACCCAAAAGGCTCTCCGAACCGCAGAATGGTCCCACTTAGAGCGTACATTGCAGGCAGTAATTGAGCAGAAAAACAACAAACCCTTCTGGCGATACATCAAGGCCATGAAGCAGGACAACATCGGAATTGCTCCACTAAAAGAGGGTAACAAACTACTCGCCGACAGTACATACAAGGCGGAGGCCCTAAATCGACAGTTTCAGTCGGTGTTCACAAAGGAGCCCCCAAATCCGGATCTCCCACCTCTCACCACACCCAAGTATCCCATCATGAGGAACATCATTATAGATGAGAAGGGAGTTGAGAAGTTGATCCGTGAAATCAAAGTCAGTAAGGCTAGCGGTCCAGACAACCTGCCAAATCGTGTCCTTCAACAGTGCTCAAACGAACTTGCCCCGGCAATGACCCATATATCCCAACAATCGATTCTGACCGGTGCACTCCCTGATGACTGGAGGAATGCCAACATCACACCAATCTTTAAGAAGGGTAACCGCCATCAACCCACCAACTACAGGCCAGTGTCGCTCACGTGTGCGTGTTGAGCATATTATCTGCCGCCACCTCAGGAACCATCTCGAGGAATACAACATACTGACACATCTACAACATGGCTTCAGGTCAGGACACTCCTGTGAATCTCAGCTACTAATTACCACCTATGACATCACCAGCATGTAAGGCCTTCGACAAGGTTCCCCATTGAATACTCCTGTACAAACTAGAGAATTTCGGTGTGAACCCCGACATACTACAATGGATCAAGGCCTTCCTGACATCACGGACCCAACGAGTACTTGTAGACGGCAGCCATTCAACACGAGTGAAGATAGATTCAGGGGTCCCCCAGGGGACGGTCCTCGGACCTATACTCTTCCTCTGCCAAATCAATGACTTGCCTGACTGCGTAACATCTACTGTACGTCTATTCGCTGATGATTGTCTGCTATACCGTCCAATTCGATGCCTCTTAGACCACCTGGACTTCCAAAAAGACCTCAAGTCCTTGGAAGAATGGGCAACGAAATGGGGTATGTCTTTCAACGCGTCGAAATGTTATATCCTGAGAACATCAAGATCCAAATCGCCTAGTGCCTACAACTACCATCTGTCGGGCCAATTACTCAAAGAAGTAGAAGAAAATCCATACTTGGGGGTGACCATTCACAACTCCATGAAGTGGGACTCTCATATCCGTATCACAACCAATAAGGCAAATTCCACTCTAGGATTCCTAAGACGAAACCTACGAAAGTGCCCAGCGTCACTGAAACTGACAGCATACAAATCGTTGGTGAGATCCGTCCTGGAATACAGCTGTACGATATGGGACCCTTACCAACAAAACAACATCCACTCGCTGGAAAAGGTACAACGACGGGCTGCCCGATTTACAACATCAAACTATAGAAGAGACGTCAGTGTAACAGAAATAATGGGCACTCTAAAACTAGCACCACTAAAGGATCGCAGGAGAGACCATCGGCTTGCCCTCTTTTATAAGATCGTGAAGGGGCTAGTGGCCATACCTGTAGATCACATATTGACTCCATCAAACACCCGTACCAGATAAAAAAAATAGTGAAATTTACCGACATTTCCAGTGTAATACGGACATATTAAAAAATTCTTTTTTTCCTCGAACAACAACAGAGTGGAATAATCTACCAGAAGACCTCGTCAAATTGCAAAAACTTAAAAGCTTCAAGACAGCACTACAAACTGAAACAATATAAACTAAAAGCGCACTCCTCCAACCCTGGAATTTATACTCAAATTTGAGGTCTTCCAGTAACATACAGATACAGATACCGGAGTATTATTATTGTTATGAAGCGCTGAGATATACACGCTAGCCGGTCCCGACCCGAGTTATATGGATCTACAGTTGTTCACATATATATGTATATCCAAACTGACAGGAATTACATTTTAGCCTGATTTCCACCGTGAGAAGCAATTTCACACTTGCAATTTCATAATATCTTAAGTACTTTCATTACACATGCGCAGAGTTTCTGCTATGAATGTTTTTTACCTCCCAGGCCTAGAGAGTTCCATAACATCAGTCGTGAAAAAGAAATGCTGAAATGTTACCTGCACTGTTGAAATCGTCTTTCGCTCGTGGTTCATGAATAAAATATGTGAATACAATGTATGTGGTACACTTGTGATATGTTATATTTTTAGTAATGCAGTTCGCAACGCGGTATATGGAGTCAGCACGTGTTTTCGTTTACAGAAAGTTCAGTCAAAATTTCTAGACGACCATCCTCGTCCATTTCTCTGTTTTCGTGGCCCTGGTTTCCAACCAGACATCCCGCGTGGATTCCCGAATTGCCGTTTGAACTCCCTTTTCTTGTCTTAACTCATATGCCGTCTGTGCCAGTTTAGACCGTTTCTTTTTTAGGTGTGAAGGGAGGTCCGTCCTAATAGTTTTCTGGAGCCTTTTGTTATGTTGCGCCCCGCACTTAACACGGTGTTTCTGTCCCCCAGTTGCACAAATTTAACAATTATCGCGTTTGGTCGTCCGTCCGTCGCAGGTTTGTTCTTATTACGCTCCTCTCCATTTCTATTCGGTTCTGACCACTTAGGGAGGCGATGCGCGTTTGCAATACTTATATTGTTTGCTCAGCTCAGTGTTCATAAAATGGCGCACCACCTCCACCGTGTTCTCTTTTTCAAACTCCTCCACTGCACAAATAAGCAGGTTGTAGCGGCGGCTTCGTCCCTCTTGGTAACTCTTATCGTCTTCCAGAATGTCAATTCTGGTAGACAGGGTCGCAATTTTTTCGTCGTACTTCACCTTGCACAGTTCGTCCAGTTTTGAATTTGTGAAATTTAGGCCGCGTTCCAGCTCCGTATTTTTATCATCTAGTTCCTGACATTTCTTGTCCAGTCCGTCAATTTTCCATCAACATACTCTTTGAACACTTCGAGCTTATCTGCCATAGATTTTGTTGATGCATGAATAAGTTGCGTGAGTTGTGACAGCATGTTTTCGTTAGTGACCTCTTTCGTTGACGTGGCCATTTTTGACTTCTCTGCACGGGATTTTCCTGACGGTTCTTTTGTGGCGCTACATGTTTCTCCCACAACTGACTGGCTCCTCAGTGACATATAGTTTGTTATCCGGCTGTTATTGTGACCTCTTTTGTCTCCAGTTTTACCCCTATTCCCACCTACAGGCATTTCACCCCTCCTGCTCTCTTGCCCGCCATTGGCGAAACCCGTGCGCAACTTTGTTGATGAGACAAGAAAACTAGTTCGATCCTTTGCTGTACATCAAAAGAATCCCGCGGTCACGTAACGGTACAAATTGACAGGCTTTGAAGTCGGGCATCTCTACTTTGTAATCTTCAAAGGACAAGTATCAGCCTAGCGATTGGTCAGTATTTTTACCTGATACCAATCTAGCAGCTTTCTTCGTGCCTTCAGTTTTGCTATGACATATTCCAGGGGTGTAGAGAGCGAAAGTGAGCATAACCCCTTGATATCAAGGATGAGGTGCCGATCGAAACAAAGACCAGAAATCAACATTGAAACATGGCTATAATTAACATCTTCAAAATCCTCCTAAATTTCGTCGACGTGTACGTTGTTATTACTGGCTATCTGATATGTTTACTTTGTTTTCATGATAACTTTTGGTTATATGTCATGTAACAACACCAATTCACTCAGAAGAAGGGACTACAATATAAACTGAAAATGTATGTCTTTTTTAATGAATGAAGAGTATATAAACAAAACAAAAAGGAGGAAAAAAAGATGTCGACGCTTTCGTGTTTTTTTGTATTTTTTTTTTTGTATTCAATGATACTGCTTTTTCATATTTCAAGTTTCATGTGTCTACAAATCCTGTACGTAGTGCTAATGACGAGTCAGTCAGCAGATGTGATGTCTGATACAGCGTAAACACGTTTAAAACCCCCATTTAACAACTATTTTAATTAAGTATGCCTTTCTACTATCCCATGCTGTTCAAGGGTTTAAGGCCCATTCCCCTCTCTGTCACATAACCAGGTTGCAATCGCATTCTCACGAATTGATAATAGATTGTGTAGGTATTAATGTTCTGTCGTCCTACTGGGGTTTTATGGAGTGTCCCTATCTGCATTACAAAAGGTTATAATTAGCTCATTACTAATTGTTTTACAAGTGAATATGTGTATCGGGATTATCGTTTATTGGCCGAGTTTCACGACTGATCGGGTCTTGAAAATTTTGAATTTGAATTTGAAATTGTTATGTCAGTGGGTGACGTAAGTTCAGCTTGCCTGTTTCGACCGACAGGGTATACGTAGGAACGAGGGATAGTTCAGACTGAGAGAGAAAGAGGATTTTACACCACGGAAATCACGGAGCTGGATTGTCTGTAGTCCGAGTTATTCTGACGTTTTATCGACTTTGTATATATGTATTAAATGTTGCCGTTTTGATATAAAGTTCGAAACTCGGAGAATGTGTTGGTTTGTGTATTGCTCAATTATGATAAATTAAACATATCTGTCTAATCATAAAATGTACACTCCTTATATTAGCGTGTTATTCTAAAATAATACCTGTTCAAAGTAACAAAGGAAACGTAACAAAAACACGGAATTCAATAAGATTGCTATCCGTGACTAAATATATTATAATAATTACATTTCTTCGTTTGTCACATTGATTATTGCTTACGATTGGCCATATAAGCATGTGTTTTTTTACTAGCTCCATTATGGCTCTCATTAGATTTTTTTATGACACTTAAGTTGGGGAATATCTTCCAACCAAAACAACCCTCTTCAGTAATCAGTAAATAGGAACATTGTCATGATGTCTAGGTTGTTGGAGAATATACATATGGAAATCTCACCTCAACATCTGAGAGAACATTCCGTAATGGTCCCTGGGTTTAGCGACGTCACAGCTCTACGTCACACCCAGTCAACTTATCATTCAGTGAGCGTTTGACACGCTGATAGCAAGTTTGCCATGTTTTTTGTATTGTAAACATGCTATTTTTGGTATCAAAATAATCATGTGACATGTTGTTATATTGGGTCGAATAAAGGGCGATTTTGTGCAACTACACAATTACCTGCTGTTTTGATCTGGATCACAATGTTTTCTTCTGCTCTACCAATTTTCGAAATAGCGTTTGCACGTTCAGTTATGTTCATATCGGCAGAAAACTGTTGAAATTACGGAAGACTCTCATAAACATGTATACAGTCTACTAAAGGAAACAAAAAACTAGCAACATAAAACTGTATTTTAAAAAAAATCAGAACAATCAATTTTTAGAAAATTTCTCCCGTCGGAAGTAGCCGTCATATGTTTCCGTGTGTCTACTTTGATTCAGTGTTATAAGAAAGATAACTCGAATACACTAAAAGTTGTTTGGAATAAAAAAAAAACTTTGATCGTCAAATTAATTATCAAAACACATTTGTTAAAATTTCAAATTGAACGAATTCATGTATTTTTATAAATTTATTTATTATATATATTCACTTATGATATATAATCTGGTGTTTTTTTTGCAGTCTTATATCGG